TATCTAAGAATGATTATTGTTGTTAGCAAATCTTGTTCTGACTTTAATCATTCTGTCTGCAGATGAACAGCATGTCATGAACACCTAGGTCATTAAAGGATGTCATGAATTATTGGCTTAAACACAAAAGTATTAGTTCCATTACAGGCATAGAGTAGGTTAAATAACTTTGTCCTTTCTAGCCACAGTCTAACAAACATAATGTGGCCTAACTTTTAGGAAAAAAATCAGCTTACATGAAATTGTAATAGAAATCACTCCTAGCCCAGCTAAAGAAATGTGATCATCCATCATGCTTATTAGTTAATTTGGATTCAATTTAATTTAATTCAACATTTCTTTGAATGAATTTATATCAATTTCCTAATAACAAGTACACAAAAAATTCATTAGAGTCCCTGTGTGTCACTTTCAAGTATTTCTTTTCTTGCTATTTAAACAGAAATTGTATAGCTACATTAACATTTTACAGAAAGAAATATATGCAAATAAAGCAGTGGAACAATAATACAGTCTTTACAGAGCTCCATAGTAGCTCATTTTTTAAACTCAACACAAATTGTTCAAACAACTCTGTGTAAATTTGAAAACTGAGGATTTTCACGAGAGAATATAATCTTAGGGAGAAAACTTTCCTTTAGGAGGAGGAAGGAAACATGGATGTCAAACAAAAACGTACACACACCTTGACTGTAGTCTTGCTCACACAAATTTATATATTTCACCAATTACTAGTAGTTACAACTGTTACTAGTTTTCACACATAAAGCCTTAATTAAACTATGCACACCTTGTTTTACATACAGAACAATGATACAACTCACCAGGTGAGACTGTGCAGGTAGAGAAGCTGCAGTTAGCAGCAGCCTGAAGCCAGAGTCTCTTAAACGTATCCAGAGGGTCCAGGAGGAGTTTATATTATTATTAATTCAACTTGAACAGTGCCTTTAGCTAACCTCTCAGCTGATGAGCTGGTCGGGACATGTCCGCTCGCTTGAGCTTCATTCTACTCCAGCAGAAGTGGTGGGTCGAGTGGGTGGAGTTTAAACACAATCTCTATAGGTTTTTTCTTACCAGCCGGATCACACACTGGTTGACCGGTGAGGAGCAGAGCCAGCTGCACCAAGTTGAGTTTTTTTTCTTCTCCCTCCCGGTTTTAACTAACATATATGGTCGGTCAGACATTTTTTGGCATGTTGTGGGAAACGTTGGTTATTTTTGCACACTTTGCTGCGTGCACTTGGAGACCTTTCTGCATTTTATCCGCAGCTTCTCAGCGTGTTTTGTCCAGTACTTCCTGATTCTCTCCAACTCTGCTCCGAGCCTCCTGACCAGTTCGAATGGCAACATTTATAACTTTGGTCGAAAGGGGAGGGGCTGGCCGGGCCGGCTGAGGAGTGCTGAGAGATTCCATTGGATTAGCTCGATGTCGTTCAAGAAAATCAACCAATGGGCCATCAAATTTATTTTTTTGGTTCATGACAGGCCCGGCCCAAAATCACCGACGGCCCAGCAGGCAAGTGCCCGCTATGCCCGATGGCCAGTCCAGCACTGACCACAGATAAACTACATTTCTTCATTTAAGAACTCATCACTCACTTCATTGCATTTTATGCTGAAGTGTTTACAGGTGGTGTAGAATTTGTAGCAGAGTGGTTCTATGTGTCGATACATGAGGTGGTTTCTGAGAGTTACAAGGTTCTGTAAAATCAGTCTGAAAACAAAACAGCAATGTTC